TTTTTTCGTTTTCGCGACGCCCGCCGCTCGCGGCGAAGCGTCGCGTCGTCCAGTGCGCCATGAGCGAGGCGGGCGACGGCACGGATGCCGCCGCCGAGGTCCCCGCGGCGGACCTCGCGCCCGTGATCGAGCTCCTGAAGTCCGACGACGACGCGGCGCGGATCGACGGCGCGACGAAGCTCAAGGAGATCGCGTCCGAGCCGAGGTGCGCGTCGTCCCGACGCGCGCGCCATCCATCCATTCGCCGCGCGTGACCAAAAGGAGAATCACGCTTCTTCGCTTCCTCGTCCGCCGTCCGCCCCCGACCATCCCCCTCACGCCGCGTTCTCCCCCCCCCCTCCCCCACCCCCACTCCCTCCTCGCAGGAACGACGACGCCGTGTTCGCCGCGGAGCTCTCCCCGCACCTCCTGAACATGCTCGCGAGCGACGACGAGCCCACGAACGTCGCCGCTCTCCGCGCGCTCCACGCCCTCGTCTCGCGCCCCGGCCCGATCTTGCGCCTGCGAGTGGGCACGCCCGAGACGATGGACGCGCTGTGGAGCAAGCTCGTGCCGTCGACGTCGGGGTGGTACGAGCCCACGGAGGAGGAGATGAGTCGCGCGGCGGAGATGGACGAGCCGCCGCCGACGCCGGGGCCGCTGCTCGTGACGCCTCCGTCCACGAAGATCGCTTTCCACGCCCTCCGAGTGATCTGCGCCGCGGTATTCGCGGACTGGCAGTCCGTGGAACATCTCATGGGCGCGCCCGAGGGCGCGATGGCGCTCGTGAGGGACCTCTCGCCGCTGTTAAACCTTCTCAAGCCCGAGGGCACGACATCTGTCGCGGTGCTGCAGAAGGCGACGCGGCTCGTGCACCTCCTCTGCCGAACGTCGTTCGGCCGGAAGTCGCTCCTCGAGCAAGGCTTACGCGCGACGCTCGTCGACGCGTTCAACGCGCCGCCGCCGCGGGATTCGAAGCAGGTGATATCGTGCTGCCAGATCGTCCTCGCCGCGGTGTCGGACCCGGACGACACGCCGCTGGAGCTCATCGAGGGCGGGGTGATCGACCCGTTGGCGCCGCTGTTGATCGACGAAGGCGCGTTCAATGTCGCACGCCGATCCTTAAGGAGTTTACTTCCCGGCGTTCGTTTCTCTCCGCCCAGGGTCCCTCGCTGCTTTCAATCCCGACACACCGCGACGCTTTTCAACTTCAACTGACGCCTTTCAACTCTCAACTCCACTCGGACGTCGCTTCGTATGGGAAAATACCCTCAGACGTGGACGTGCAGACCGCCGCGTGCGGCGCGTTGACGCGACTCGCCGCGATGTCCCCGGAGGCGGCGGCGCGGATGTTTGAGCTCGACGTGTTGGGGGACATTCGGAGGATGCTTCCGAAGCCGGACCGGCTGAGCACGCCGCCGGATACGCCGGAGTCGCTGGACGTGGACAACGTGTTTCGAGAGTTGTTCCACGACGACGGCGACGACGGTGACGGCGACGGCGACGCGGGGACGACCGCCGCGCTCTCAGGCGCGTTCGTTCTATCTTACACTGGTCCCCATACGACCGCGTTCGCGTGGTGAACGCCGATCCTTAAGGACTTTGCCCGGCGCATCTCTCCGCCCAGGGTCCCTCGCTTTCAATCCCCGCCCTCGGCGCCTTTCAACTCCACCTGACGCCTTTCAACTCCACCCCGACATTCGCTTGTATAGAACGGCCCTCACTCAACGCGCTGACGCTGACGACGCCGACGATGCGGCCGGACCTCGGCCCGCCGCCGAAGCCGCCGGTGCCGCTCGCGCGGACGGAGAAGCTCGCGGCCGGTCTCTTGGAGCTCCTCGCGGCGTTGCTGTCGCACGACGCCATCAGGGACGACGCGTGTCGCGTCGGCGGGGACGTCGAGGCAGCCAGGGGGTTGCTTCCGTCGGGGAAACACCGTCCGACGTGGACGACGACGATCGTGCATCAGGCGCGTTCTATACACTGGTCCCCATACGACCCCGTCGGCGTGGTGAACGCCGATCCTTAAGGACTTTTGCCGTCGCATCTCTCCGCCCACCCCTCGCTTTCAATACCCGCCCTCGGCGCCTATCAACTCCAACTGACGCCTTTCAACTCCACCCCGACATCGCTTTGTATGGATCGCGCATCAGTTTTTACCCGCGGCGACGTACGAGCGGCCGGCGACGCCGACGCCGCCGGAGGAGGAGGCCGGCGCGGCGGCGGAGGGCGGCGCGGAGGGGGGCGAGGAGGGCGGCGGCGAGGGGGGCGAGGACGCGGCGGCGGCGGCGGCGGCGGAGGGAGGGGAAGAGGAGAAGCCGGGCCCCGCGGCGGACGGGGAAGCGAAGAGAGACGACGACGGCGGCGGCGCGGCGGACGCGGAGGTTTACGACGCCGACGCGAACGACGATAAGAAGAGCTTCGACACGTGGGACTGGGAGCCGGTCGTCGTCCCCGGGGATCCCCCCTGGGACGATCATCTCGTCTGCGAAGCCGCGCTTCGCGCGCTTGAAATTTGCGCGCGGCACCCGCGGTGTCGCGCGCAGCTCAACGAGGACGACGGCGCGGGCGTGAAACAGCTGTGCGAGGTTCTGAAGCGCGAGATGCGCGGGTGCGTGGAGCCGACGCTTCGGATCATGCTCCTCCTGATGGCGCACGCGAGGCAGAAGCGCGAGGAAGGGGGCGGCGGATGCGGGGGAGAAGAGGAGGAGGAGGAGGAAGCCGCGTCGTCAGTCGGAGAGGGCGAGGAGGCGGAGGACGGGGCGAAACCGGAACCGAAAGCGAAACCGTTCGACGTCCTCGCCGACGCGGACGTCAAGGCGACGCTCAACGGCGTCGGCACCGGCGACCCTGGATCGGCCGCGTACGACCAGCTTCGACTCACGAAGGCGCTGTCGCTCGTCGCGTATCCCCTCGAGGAGGTTCTGCCGGACCGCAGACCGCGACCGCCGACGCCGGATCCGCCGCCGCCGCCGCCGAAGGTGCCGTTGCTCGTGGGGCACATGAAAGGGACCTTGCGCGTGGCCGTCGGCGCGCACAAGCAGCTCGAAGAAGCGGCGATCAGGGCGAAGGAGGGTGCCGGGGAGGAGGTGGGACCCGAGGGCGGAGGAGAGGGCGGGGGCGGAGAGGGCGAGGGCGACGCCGCGCCCGGGGAGGACGTCTTGGAGATCGTCACGGAGAAATGATAAAAACCTAACCCTCACCCCGGGGATCGACCCCTAGCTAGCGCGAATCATCACAGAAGATACAGACAGTTTTAGTTGTTGTTACAAACACTACGCTACAATTGAATGAATCGATTGAATCGTACGACGCACATCGTGCGCACTGGTCACACGTCACGTCGCCGCGACCGCTTCGTCCGGCGCGGACCCCAACACCTTCCTCGCGCGTGCGTTGGCGACGTCGGCGGCGTCCGCGCACGCGCTCAACCTCCCCGCGATCGCGCACGTGAACCTCGCGACGCGTTCCCTCCCCTCGAACATCAACATCGCGCCCCCGCCGCCGCCGCTCGCGCGCTGGTCGTCATCGCTGTCGCGCTCCCCCGTCCTCGCGAACCGCGTCCCCTCCGAGAGTAAAAACAAAAGAAGAATCGTCGAACGCGTGAACGCGTCGAGCGCGCACGCGAGGTTCCCCGTCAGCTCCTCGACCGCGGCGGCGCGTCCCAGCCGCAGCGACGCCTGGTACGTCGCATCCGCGCCGTCGGGCATCGAGTCGGAGCCGGAGCCGGGGGCGCGCACGCTGACGCCCGCGCGTTCGGCTCTCGACACCGCCGCGGCGAACGACGCCTCGAGACGCGCGACGGTTTTTTTCTTCTCGTCGAGCGCGGCTCGCAGCCGCTCAACCTCGACGACGCGCGCTTCCGTCTCCGCGGCGTTCTCTTCGCTCTCTTCCTTCGCCGCGATCGTCGTCGCGGCGACGTGCGCGGCTTCCGCGGCGTCGGACGCGTCGCGCGACAGCGACAGCGCTTCGTGCAGAGCGTTTAAGGACACGAGCGATAACGAGAGCGCGTCGAGTTTGTGATCGCTCTCCCAGCGCTCCGCGGCGGCGTCGCGGAGCACCGCGGCCGCGCGCTCGAGCGTGGCCGCCCGGCTCGTCGTCGTCGTCGCCATCGCGTCGCCGCGCGCGGTCGCGATCGCCGCGGCCGCCAGCGCCGCCGCCGTCGCGGCGAGCTCGGCGGCGATGCCTCCGACGAGCACCGGGACGTTCGCGTTCCCGGGCTGCGGCCGCTCGCGTCGCTCGTCGGGCGTCGCCGGCGGCGGCGGCGACGGCGCGGAGTGCCACTCGCTCGGCGGGGACGCGTCCATGTGGTCGACGACGAATCGGTCTCGATCTCGATCTCTATCTCTATCTCGATCTCTATCAGGGCCGTTCTATACAAGCGAAAGTCGGGGTGGAGTTGAAAGGCGTCAGTTGGAGTTGAAAGGCGCCGAGGGCGGGTATTGAAAGGGAGGGGTGGGCGGAGAGATGCGACGGGCAAAGTCCTTAAGGATCGGCGTTCACAACGCCGACGCGGTCGTATGGGAACCAGTGTATAGAACGCACCTCAGCGCCTCCGCCGCGTCGTCTTCTCGGAGACGTCCCGAACGACAGCAGCGTATCGCGCGTCCCGCTCACGAGCTTCTCTCCCGCGTCGCTGAGCCGTCGCGCGAGCACGCCCGCGAACTTCGGCGGGGTGAAGGACGTCGACGACGACGACGCGCGAGGACTGCGATCCGCGTGCGCGCGCGTCGACGACGGCGAGGGCCGTTCTATACGAGCGAATGTCGGGGTGGAGTTGAAAGGCGTCAGAAGCGGAGTTGAAAGGCGCCGAGGGCGGGTATTGAAAGCGAGGGACCCTGGGCGAAGAGATGCGCCGGGCAAAGTCCTTAAGGATCGGCGTTCACCACGCCGACGCGGTCGTATGGGAACCAGTGTATAGAACGCACCTGACTCCCCGGAGACGATCACGAACCCCTCCGCGTCCGTTTCTGTCGAAACCGCCGCCGCGTTGGCGTTGGCGTGGACGTTGAACCCCGCGAATCGACGCGGGCGGCTCGTCGGCGACGGCGACGCGCTCAGCGGCGGCTTCCTCGACCACGACCGCGACCCCGACCCGCCCCAGCCGCCGCGCGACGGCGACGGCGAGAGCGAGAACCCGCCGCCGCCGCCGCCGGACGCGCGCCGCGCGAGCGGGGAGGACGAGAGCCAGTGCGTCGTGGACGTCGCCGCCGTCGCCGCCGCGGACGCGGCGTCGCGCGCGAACGCGGCGACCGCGCCGACCCCGCGACGCGCCTTTTCGACGCTCGACGGCGGCGTGTGCGCTCGCGTCGGGTCGTTCGACGACGCGGCGGCGCGAGCGCGATGCCCGCCGCCGCCGCCGCCGCCGCGGTCTGGGACGCGAATAGGTTTCACGCCGCCGCCGCCGCGTCGCGCGTCGTGTTCGAACGGAAACGGCATCTGCGACGAGTCGCGCGAGCCGTCGGACCCGGATCTGGATCCCCCCGAGTGGGACTGTGATTGAGATTGGGAGTGGTCCGACCGGCTCCCGCCGCCGTCGCGCTCCGCCGTCGCCGTCTCGCGACGACGATCCATCGCATCCCCGTCGCCGCCGACGATCGGTCTCCCCGTCGCGCGGTCGCGGTCGCTCATCGGTCGCCCCGCCGTCGACGTCGACGTCGACGTCCTCGCCGGCGGCGGATTCGGAAGTTTCTCCCCCGTCAAAAACGGGTGCGAGAAGAACTCCTCAAACGTCGCGCGTTCCGCCGGGTTTCGCCGCAGCAACGCTCGGAGCATCGAGACGCACTCCGGCGAGAGCGCGTTCGCCACCTTGCTCGGTATCTTCGCGTCCTGTCGCTCGATGTTCCGTAACAGCTGCATCGGGTTCATCCCCGTGAACGGCGTGCGGCCGACGAGGAGCTCGTACAAGATGGAGCCGACGCTCCAGAGGTCCGCCTTGGCGTCGTACTTTTGGTACGAAAGAATCTCCGGCGCCATGTACAGCGGCGAGCCTGTGGATCGAATGAAATGATTTGATTGGTCAGTCACGATGACATGTCAACCCGTCATCGGGTGGATGGGTGTCATCGAGCTTTTGAAATACACAACACACGCGCGGAGGACGCGAACGATTGGAGGACGCACCGCACAACGTCTCCGCCAAACCCGTCGGGTGCATGTACCTCGCGAATCCAAAGTCCGCGATCTTCAAGATCTTCTCCCCGTCCCCGCTCGCCCCCGCGGACGTCAGCAACAAGTTCTGCGGCTTCAGATCGCGGTGTATCAAGTTCTTCTCGCGCATCGCGGTGAGCCCCGCGGCCATCTGCGTCAACATTCCTCGCGCCGTCGCCTCGTCGACGCTTCCGTTTCTTTTGATGTACTCGCCGACGTCGCCGCCGTCGCAGTACTCTAGCACGAGGTGCACGACCTTGTCTCCCGGGTCGCGTATGATGTCGTACAGCTTGATAATGTTCGGGTGGTCGCTCTGTCTCAAGACTTCGATCTCGGACTCGAGGCTCTGTCGGAGCTTCTTCGAGAGCTTCTCGAGGTAGATCTCTTTGACCGCGACGACGTGAGATTCGGACGTGAGATGCCGCGCGCGCCACACCGTGGCGAACGACCCGCGTCCGATGCGCTTGTCGATCACCCAGCACCCGCCGATCGTGCGCGTCGTCGTCGACGGCGCGTCCTCGAGGATCACGGACGGGGAGCGCGGGACCGCGTCCTCGACGGGAGGGGGCGGCGTCGCCATGACTTCCCCGCGTCCTCCCCCTCCGACGCTTCGCTGAATATTCCCGCGGGAAAGCGCGCTGACTCACTCGAATGGGGACGCGCCGCGGTCGCGCTTCGCGCGCTTTTCACGCGTCGCGCGCGAACCCGACGCGGCTCCGCGTCGGAGCGAAGGCGCGAAGAAACACTCTCTCGCGGATCGTCGGGTTCTAGAAGCGCGCGCGGGGTGGAGTCGTCGCCCGGAGGCGGATGCGCGCGGCGGTCTGACCCCCCTTCAAACGGGCGTGCGATCTTCAAAAACGGGTAAGCTCCAGGTAAACTCGCGGGAAGCGCCAAACACGAGATGACGCACTGGCGACCAGTCAGCCTCGTAGTTTTCGCGCGTACTCGTACGAGCCGTCGAGGCTTCTCGAGGCGCCACCTCATCGGCCGTCCACGTCTCTCGACTCCGCGCGCCTCACACGCGCTCGCGCGGACGGACGTCGCACGCGAGGGGAGAGCATCGTTCAAAAGAGAGGAACATGGCGCTCGCGACGCGCGTCGGCGTCGCGGCGACGACGCCGCGCGCGCTCCGCGCGCCGCGCGCGTCGCCGCGGCGCGTCGACGCGCGGGCGGCGCGGACGCGCGAAAGTGCCGTGCCGCGCGTCGTCGTCGTCGCGCGCGGCGCGATCGGAACCCCCCGGATCGCGCGCGGAGGAGTCGCGGCGAGGCGGCGCGACGGAGGACGCGCCGGCGCCGCGCGAAAGGGAGAGGAGGGGTCGATCGCGGAGACGGCGGCGGCGCGGGCGGACGACGAGGACGATCGCGCGCGGCGAGCGCGACCGACGACGACGACGACGACGACGACGACGACGGACACGGACTGGGATTGGCTACCGAAGCTCGGGCTCGCGACTCTCGGCGGCGCGGGCGTCTTCGGCACCAACTTCCAGCTCGACGGCCCCGCGTCCACGCTCGAGGCGGTCGCGGTGCTCGCGTCCATCATCTTCGTGCACGAGTGCGGACACTTCTTCGCGGCGCGCCTCCAGGACATTCACGTCTCGAAGTTTAGCATCGGATTCGGCCCCAACCTGCTGTCGTATCAAGGTCCGGAGGTGGAATACTCCCTGCGCGCGATCCCGCTCGGCGGGTTCGTCGCGTTCCCGGACGACGATCCGGACTGCCCGTTCCCGGAGGACGACCCAGACTTGCTGAGGAACCGACCGATGAAAGACAGGGCCATCGTGGTGTCCGCGGGCGTTCTCGCCAACGTCGCCTTCGCGCTCGCCATTCTCACGACGCAGGTCAACACCGTCGGGTTCAGGTGAGGAGCGAGACTTCGAGACGACGAGGACCCGTACAGTACACTCCTTCGCGCGCGTCGTGCGTCGTGACGTTACGTGTTTCTTCCCGACGCCCGCCTGACGCCTCGCTTCCTTCTCTTCTCCCTACAGCGTGCAAGACTACAAGCCCGGGGTTAAGGTGTCGCAGCTGCTGAGCACGTCCGCGGCGAGAGAGTACGGCGTCCGCGTCGGCGACGTCATCACCGCGGTCAACGGCGAGGTCCTCCCCGCGGACGGGAAGAGCGTCAACGTCGTCGTCGACCGCGTGCGCGCGTCGGGCGCGTCCGTCGTCCGCTTCGACGTCTTGCGGCGCGCGGAGGTGCGTTCTATACACTGGTCCCCATACGACCGCGTTCGCGTGGTGAACGCCGTTCCTTAAGGACTTTGCCCGGCGTGTCTCTCCGCCCACCCCTCGCTTTCAATCCCCGTCCTCGACGCCTTTGAACTCCTACTGACGCCTTTCAACTCCACCCCGACGTTCGCTTGTATAGAACGCGGGCGCCGCGGGCGGCGCCGCGACTGGCGAGATGCGAGCGATGACGATCGACGTGACGCCGAACACGTCCCCGACCGGGGAAGGACGTATCGGCGTGCAGCTCGAGGCGAACGCGACGATCGAGAAGCGGATCGCGAAGAACGCGGGAGAGGGACTCGCGCTCGCGTCGAAGGAGTTCGCGCGGCTCACCACGCTCGTGAGCAAATCTCTGTTTTCTCTCGTGTCCAACTTTAGCGCCGCGAAGGAGAACGTCTCCGGGCCGATCGCGATCGTCGGCGTCGGCGCGGAGGTGATGCGGACGTCGGACCTGAGCGGGTTGTACCAGTTCGCGAGCGTGATCAACATCAACCTCGCGGTGGTGAACATACTCCCGCTGCCGGCGTTGGACGGCGGGTTTTTATTTTTGATCGCGATAGAGGCGCTCAGAGGGGGGAAGAAGCTGCCGACGAACGTGGAGCAGAGCATCACCGCGTCGGGGGTGTTGCTGCTGTTGGGGTCCGGGATGTTTCTCATCCTGCGCGACACGCTGAACTTGTTCGAGAGCATCAACAAGTGAGTTAGCACGTACTGTAGTAGAGGCGTTCAGACGACTTTTTTTGGTAAAAAGACCCGCACTGCTCGCACGGCATTTCGACGATGCCGATCAACGTTGATCGCGCGCGCCTTTGAAACGCTCCGATGAAAAAACGCGCGAGGCGCGACTTTTCTGTGGCGACGAGCGTTTCGCACGTTTTTCTCACGTTTTTCCCCAAAAGCTGCTGCGGTCGAGAGGCCACCTCCGCGGTCACCACTCCGCCGCGCGCCGCGCCATGTCCGCGTCCGGCTCCATCCTCCGCAGCGGCTCGAAGCCGAAGCGCTCCGTGTCGTTCGAGTACCTCCCGACGACGTACGGCGCCGCGCCCGCGCGCGACGCGCCGACGGCCGCGACCTTCGCCCGCGCGTCGTCGTCGTCGTCGTCTGCTCCATCGTCGACGTCATCGGTCGCCTCGACGACGCGCGCGCTTCATCACCCCTCCTCCGTCGGTCGCGCGTTGACGCTCGTCCTCGGCGCCGTCGCGCTCCTCGGCGCGTTCGTCGCGCTCGCGACGCACCACCACACCGCGAACGCGCACGCGCGCGGAGCCGGGGAGGGCGTCGTCGCGCTTTCCGCCGCCTCCGCGGCGCGCCTCGGCGTCGAGAACGATGCATCGAGCGGATCGAAGAACCTCCTCGGCGGCCCCCTGCGGCCGTGCTCGGACGCGACGCAGGCGACGCAGACCGGGATCGATCGCTCCGGGTCGTGCGCGTGGGACCCCGACGACGCGGGGTATCACGCGGTGTGCGTCGAGATGGACGCGAAATTCTTGAGCGCGAGCGCGACGCGCGACGCGAACGACCTCTCTTCCGTGGTGAAGCCAGGGGAGCGATGGTGCGTCTGCGCGTGGGCGTTCGCATCCGCGGTGGAGCGGGATCCGAAGACGATGGAAGGGCTGGAGTTGCAGTGCGACGGGAGCAACGGGAAGTTGCGCGGGGTGTACGAGTCGTTCATCGCGCGGAAGGAGGCGCTGAAGTCCCCGAGCGGGAGGGAGTACGAGGCGGGGAAGGCGCTCGCGGCGGTGGACAGACTGTGCCCGGCGCCGCGGTGACGACGATAGCGACGGCTGTAACGAATGAACGAATGTACTATATACCAACACCGCGTCGCGAACCAACCGAAACCGACCGATCGACCGCAAAAACACACCACACCATATGCGATCAAAGGTACACGTTCGCGGCCCGCTCCTCGCGTTTCATCTTACGCGAGTCGCGCTTGTTCACCCCCTCCGCGACTTCGCGCTCTCGCTTCACCGTCCGAATTTGCGCGATCTTCGTCTTCAAGATGCCAAAGTGATGCCCTTTGTACTCCTTCCTCGTGGACTGACGCATTCTGAGCTCGAACAGCATCTTCTTCGCGGCGACGATCTCCTTGTTCAGATCCTCGTTGCTCATCCCCTTGAAGTCCGCCGCTTTCGTCGGCTTCACCGCCGCGAAGGCGTCGTCCTTCGCCGCGTCCTTCGTCTCGTCGCCGTCGGCGGCGAAGACGCGTAGCGCGGCGCCGCGAACGCTCCGCGAGGACGACGGCGCGAAGGAGGACGCCTTCGCGGCGCGGACGGGCGCGCCGGTCATCGCGACGGACTTGCGCGCGGTGGACGCCTGGCGAGCGAGAGGGATCCCGGGCGCGGGCGAGCGAGGGAGGACGGAGGGAGGTCAGCGCGGGGAGGGGGCGGGGAGGATTGATTTGATGGATAGAATCTGGGTCGTCCGTCGTGCGCCTTTGCCCTTAGCGACAAGCCCTGCGGCGTCTTCGCTTCGCGCCGGAGACGGGGGCGTCGCGAGGGCGCGAGGGCGCGCGCGAGGGTTCCGTCGCCGCGGACGGCGCGGTGACGTCGTCGCGCGGGGTCGAGCGCGTCGCGTGGACGATCGCGGCGCTCGACGCGCGCGCTCCCGCGCGACGCCGCGTCGTCGCGTCCGCCGCGCGATGAAACCAAACCCTCTACCCTCAATTTCCCGCGACGCGCGCGAGACGACGGACTTGGACGCGCGCGGACGGGAGCGTCGAGATTCGCACCTTGACGGAGCTCGGCGCGGCGAGACGCATCGCGGACATGGACACGGTGAGCGCCATCTCGAACCTGGTGTTCGTGAGGTGTGCGTGCGCGCTGCGCCCGGACAGTGACGGGCGGCGTGGCGATTTTAGAGACTGGCTGGACGACGAGCGAAAGACGGTCGGTCGTGGGATAAAGTAGTTTTCGTGCGTAGTACGCGACCGGTCCGATATTCTGACTGCTCGGCTGTGACGAACTTGGTCTCGGCCGCGTCGCGCGGCGCCGCCCGTCGCGAGATCGTTCGTTCACTTCGCGCCGCACAGTGTCGCCGCCTCGCTCTCCTCCTCAAGAACGATGTCCGCTTTCACCGCTTCCCCCGCCGTCTTCGCGCGCAAGGCGCTCAACGGCTCCGCGCTCACCTCCAAGCGCGTCGCCGCGAAGAACGTCAAGACGTTCGCGGTCAGCGCGAACGCGAAGGTTGACGCGTGCGATAAAAACTCCGTCATCGTGTCCCCGTCCATCCTCAGCGCGAACTTCGCGACGCTGGGTGCGGAGGTGCGCGCCCGCCGCGCGAGTCTCCCTCCTCTCTCTCCTCGTCCTCCATCGCGTCGCTCGCGCGTCTTTCTTTCGGTTCCCCCCTCGCGCGATCGATCGAGCGACGCGTTCATGGAAGCGCGCGCGTCGATCCCTCGATCGCCCCCACGTGCCGGAACGCCTCGCACCCTCCGCGATCGGATAGAATGTTCCGAGCGCGCGCCGTCGCTGACCGTCCCTCGCGCCCTCCTCCCGCGCTCCCCCCCCCGCGCGCGCAGGTCAAGGCCGTCGACGAGGCCGGCGCGGAGTGGATCCACATCGACGTCATGGACGGCCGCTTCGTGCCGAACATCACGATCGGTCCCCTCGTCGTCGACGCGCTTCGCCCGGTCACGGACAAGGTGCGAAGATCCGTCGTCGCGCGTCGTCGTCGTCTCTCTCGTTTTTCCTCCTCCTCCTCCTCCTCCTCCTCCGCGCGCGGCCCGCCCCGCCCCGGCGCGCGCGCGTCGCGCCGCGTCGTCTGATCCTCAACCTAACCCTAACCCTAACCCTTAACCCTAACCCCCACCCCCCACCCCGAACCCCTCAGGTCCTCGACTGCCACCTCATGATCGTCGAGCCGGAGCTCCGCGTCGCCGACTTCGCCAAGGCTGGCGCGGACATCATCTCCGTCCACGCCGACCCCGGCACGTCCACGATCCACCTCCACCGCACGGTGAACCAGATCAAGGACCTCGGATGCAAGGCTGGCGTGGTCCTCAACCCGGGGACGCCGCCGGAGTGCCTCGAGTACGTCCTCGACTGCGTCGACCTCATCCTGGTCATGTCCGTCAACCCCGGGTTCGGCGGGCAGTCGTTCATCGAGTCTCAGGCGCGTCCTACGTCATCACGCACTGGTCCCCGTACGACCGCGTTCGCGATGTGAACGCCGTTCCTTAAGGACTTTTCCGTCGTTTCTCCCCGCCCACCCCTCGCTTTCGATCCCGACGCGCCGCGACGCCTTTCAACTCCTCCATCTGACGCCTTTCGACTCCGCCCCGACGTCGGTCGCTTCGCGCGGATCCTCCCTCGACGCGCAGGTTGAGAAGATCGCGAAGATCAAGGCCATGTGCGACGCCAAGGGCGTGAACCCGTGGATCGAGGTCGACGGCGGCGTCACCCCCGCGAACGCGTACAAGGTGATCGAAGCCGGCGCGAACGCGCTCGTCGCGGGGTCCGCGGTGTTCAACTCGCCGGACTACGCCGCCGCCATCGCGGGCATCAAGGCGTCCAAAGCGCCCAAGTAATTTGTTTTTAACGCAGCTGGCGCGGGTACTGTGAGGAAAAGGAAGGAAGAGAGGAGCGCGACGCGGGACGTCCGCGCGTCGCCGAGTTGTGAGGGCTATGCCTCGCGTGGTGAAGGATATTACACGAGCGAGGGTGTTGTTACGTAGCGATAACGTCGATTCATTCTATTCGTAAAGAGGCGAACGCGCGCGGCGCGAGAGGAGCTCTCCCCGCCACCTCGCCTCGCCAAACTTTTTATTTTCCCCGGATCTCACTCGCCATCACAACGCGTCGCACGGCGTGGGGTGGCGCGTCCCGCCCCGCCCCGCGCGCGTCGTCTCGAGCGTCGCCCGCGTGAGAAGGTCAGCCGTCAGTCGTCGAGTCCGTCGTCGCGTCGGCGTCATGTTCGTCGCCGCGGCGCGTCGCCGCCGCGTCGCCGACGTCGCGACGCGTCGCTTCCTCTTCGTCGTCGGCGCGTCGTCGTCGTC